CTTTCCCTGGTTCCAGTAATGAGTCCAATACCCTAGGCAGTAATGCCCTTCAGTCTGTAAGGTGGCCATTTTGCTTCAGCTGCAATGGCCAGCCAGAAAAGCCAAGCTACATCCAAATCTAAAACCAAGACTTCCTGTCCACACCTATATGACTGGCTGGATAGTCAACACTCAAAAAGTTGTGATCAATGGCTTAATGACCAAGTGTCACCAGTGAGGAGTGACATTCCTTAAGGGTTAGTATTAGGACCAGCATTGTTTAACATCTTTGTGGGAGATGTGGACAGTGGGATCAAGTACACCCTCAGCAAAGTTTGCTGATGACACCAAGCTGTGTGGTGCAGTCGACATACTGGAGGGAAGGGATGACATCCAGAGGGACCTTGACAGACTTGAGAGGTAGGCCAATGCCAACATCAGGAAGTTCAACAAGGCCAAGTGTGAGGTCCTGCAGCTGCGTCAGGGTAATCTCGAGCACAAACACAGGCTGGGCAGAGACTGGATTCAGGGCAACCCTGAGGAGGAGGACTTGGGGGTGTTGGTTGATGAGAAGCTTAACATGAGCCAGCTTCAGTGTGCGCTTGCAGCCCAGAAAGCCAACTGTATCCTGGGCTGCATCAAAAGAAGAGTGACCAGCAGGTCGAGGGAGGCGATTCTTCCCCTTTACACCACTCTGGTGAAACCCCAACCTGGAGTACTGTGTCCAGCTCTGGGGCCCCCAGTATAAGGCCAGGTTGGAGGTGTCCCTGCCCATGGCAGGGGGGTTGGTACTAGATGACCTTAAGGTCCTTTCCAACCCTAACTATTCTATGATTCTATTAAGGGAAATGAAATTTTAGAAATTCAAAACCTGCTGTAAATATTTGTGTGACATGTATTACAGAGCCCAAATGCCTTCCTAGAGGCAGAATGTCATAAATTTCCCATGTTATTCTGTGGAAGTCATTTGAGTGATAGAAACGAGGAACCACCATGCAGCTTTACCTTCAGTGAAGTATAAATACTGTGCTATTACATTCCTTATGGCTCCATCTACCAGAAGCAATCTCTTCGAAACAGACCATTGAGGTACATCCTGAAGTACAGACTGCATTCTCTCCAGATGCAGGATTCTGCAACCAAAAGAAGTGAAGCAAAGTAGCATTGTGTACTACAAACAAAAAGGTAAAGTTGCTAAAAGACTATGGGATTTTTTTTTTGTTGTGCACTCACTATATCATCTACTTTGTAGTTTCTCACAACAGCAGCTGTATAGCAGTTTTCTTGTATAAAAAAAGAACCAAATTCCAAAATGTACTACTAAATTACTGAACAATTTGACTGCAGTCTCTCTTTTAACAGTGGATAGTGGATTGTTTCTTTCAGATTAATCCTCAGATATCAATTTGTATAGCATAGATCATCTCTCCTCCAATGAAGAAGAGGTTTTGATATGAATAAGTAGAGTTATTACAAATATATAGCCATACAAATGCCAAATTAAGGCTAACATTATCACTCCCAGAAGGGATATAAATCATCCAATGTGCAGTTTGAAAGAGAGAAGTATCAGTTCGTGTGGTCTACCACAGTCTTCTCATGAGCTTCTGACAAACGTTAACTCCATGTCTACAACTTAGGTCCTGTGTAGAATCTTTCAAATCATTTATAAATCGGAAATCAGTGAAGTGTAATGTGAAAATAAATATTCAGTTGATCTGAATTTCATAAGACAAGTTGTAGAAAGATAAGTATAACTTACAGATCAGGAGATGCAGCATATCCTTCTGAAAAGTATGGATCTGATTTCTCATTCCATTGCTGGATCAGGGTACTTATCTCTGCAAAAAGTTTCCTGACTTTCCTGTCATCTAGAAACTGAGACATTAAATCATCTATCAGCCTTTCAAGTTCCAAAAAGAGTGTCTGAGAGAGCCTGTTGCTGTTGAACCATTGCTCAAATACCTAGAAAAATGAATGCAAAATAGAATGCACCTTGTTAGAAAAACAAAGCTTTATTATTTAGAAAATACACAGAATCTGCGTGTCTAAAAAAAAAAAAGCCAAACACACACACAATTAATAACGATAGTAAAATTTCTCCCTAGCAACACGTCCAGACTCTGAAATTACTGGCCTCACAAAGGTTGATTTTTTAATACAGTTTCAACTGACCTGCAAGTTGGCTATATAACATGCTGCATCATATAGAGAACTAACAACCTATGTTGTGCTGTCCCTGCCCAAAGACCCAGGAATGGTAAAAAAAAATGGCCTGAGGCCAAAAGCAGACCTCCAGTCAAAAGCTTGCTTTCCCTTACAGGGCTTCTGCCTACACTAACGAGACAATGGAAGGCAGCAGCTTCAACATTTTTCGTGTCCCATTACATAAAGAGATGGAAAATGAGCCTGCATGCTCCCATTGTGTAGCCTGGAATAAATAAGGCATATCAAGGCCTGGCCAAACCTGCTGACTACTCTCCTTTTTCCACCATTAATTTATTTAATGCCAAGTGGTTATAACAGAATTTTACTCTAAGAGATGTTCTGTTCACCAGGGAATTCCCAGTGGCCAGCAGCTTACAGTACTTCAGGTTGCCATAATAAGGATGTCAGCTTTCACGAAGAGTTTTAAAATCATAGCTGAAATTATTACCAGATTTTCCTACAGCTACAGTAGAAATTAGTGCATTAGATTTGGCAATCAAATTACTATTTTGAGTCATACATCAGTGAAACCTTCAGCAAGAGAGAAATCAAAGGCTCCATTTTTAAGGAAACACACAGTAAGCTCTACATGCTTTCTCCAGATATTGCAAACATCTCCACAGCAGCTTGCTACACAACTTCTATTATTTTATTAAACAACATCTCATATTTCAGTGAAAAAACAAACACCAGCACTCAGGCAGCTGGGTGTTTTCCTTCAAAAACATCAGAATGGTTTATCTTTGTCTCCATGAACTACACATACGTCATCATAGAGACTGCATGCCAAGTTGCTCTGCCAGAGCAGAATTTTAAGATGTTATACATGAGATTTACTCTCATCCCCTGCAACGTGTTTCAGCTACTATTGTCAGATATAGTGGAGGGAAAGTAAAAATAAATTAATTTTAGACCATATCAATGGAGGCCAATAGTTTGCTTTCAGTTTTGCCCTTAATTCAGGCCCAGGTGGGACAGTAAATGGGTCTTCCTTCTGACAGGCGTCTGCATCAAAGTATATTATTACACTATATTCCCTATTAGATTTCAAATCTGTATTTGAGTTAATGACAAAATCTGATTAAGTGGACACATGGTGATAGATTAGACTTCCACTGTAACGATTCTTTCTGTGGATTATTTTGTTTTATTAGCAAGATGAAAACTTCATGAAAGTAACATTTAATAGATAACTCAGATCTTTATACTGAGTTACTGTTGACAACCTACAAGCAAAAATTAGGAATTTAATCTATTAACTTATTAAAGTGTACCTGTGCATAGAGTCTGAGCTTGCTGACAGCATGAACAAGATATATTTTGGCCTCATGCCATGCAGAAATACAGTCATCTTCATTATTCTCTTTGTTTGCTTCATCTTCAGGCTCTCTGGACAGAGCAGAGCACACAAACTGCTCCAGTGTCTCTCCTGTGGGAATCTGGCAGGGATAGAAGAAATTGATGAGTATCTCAAGACAGTTGCTGAGTGTTATCTCTGCTATCAACTTACTTATCTGGTGAAAAAAAGAATATAGCTTCCTTCAGTGAGATCAAAGCCCACTTAATCCAGCCTCATATTCTGGGGCACATATTTCAAAGTATTCCACATGCAGAACACTGTACAAAACACCAGTGGCCCGTTAGGGTACTCACAGGCATGGCAGAACAATGAAACTAGTACATGCAAGGAATTTTCACCATGTGGCTACACCAGTGTTACTATTTCTACAGTCATTTGCAGGCTGATGCTGAAAAAACTTGTCAATGATACAGCACCCCTATACTAGAATAACTGTGTCAAAGCAACTTCACAAGTATAAAAATTACTGATGTAGAAGGCACTCAGCACAGTGATACATTTCAACCAATGACTGCATGCAACAGACTAGTTTTAAATTGAGGATGACAGGTGTCAGCAGTGTGGCCAAGAGGCCAGAATTTTTTCCTCACAGCCTGACTTCTAAATTTTGTGTTGCAAGAGTTATTATTCCCAATCATATAAATTAAGTCATATCAGTTAAAGTATACAAAAAAAATTTAGCTCATTTTAACTCTTCCTGTTAATGACTTTTGAAGACACACTACATCCTAACTCCTTTTAACTGTGACTAGAAAATTCATTAAAAATTTTGACCCCAAACTACCTGGCGCATTAGATACAGAATTAAAGTGCTCAGAAGAGACATTGTTCAGGTTTCCACACTTCCCTTCATACTTTCTCAGGGTCTCCAATGCCCTAACACAAGCACACAATATCAAGATATTAGCTTAAATAGCTAGCGAGTGTGTTGCCTTGGATTATACAGTTAACCATATCTAACCAGGCTGCAGTCAAATTCCGTTCAATTGATCAAGCTGGACATCACTGATATTTTATTAAAAGGTCATTCAAAAGTAAAGGATTTTTTAATAATTTATCCCTCTGTGTAAATCAACTATTTTTATAGTGAGCTCTTCTGGAGCACAACTTCAGACTGTACCTGGCAAAGAACAAACAGATTTCAGATAAACACCAACATGTTCAATTCAAAAGCTGTGGACTTCAGTTGAAATTCTAAACACGTTTCAAGTTTTTTGCAGTCAAACCATCACAACAGGTCACTTTGATCTAGAAGATAGGTTAGAAAGCCTCCTCTGAGAAAAGAGATTTCCTTCAAAATTTGGCACATCACTGGCATATTTGAATAGTCCCACTGAGAAACTCATCAGTCAAGTATATTGGTATCAAGACTTCACAACTGGGAAGGAAGGACTCCTGATGTGCCTTAATTTACACATAGAAGTCACAGACATTCTTTGTCCAACAAACCAGATGAAAAATGCTACCTGTCAAATTAATCCAGGCAGCTTCAAGTCTAGGAATTAGTTTAAAAGCACAGAGGAGCAAACCCCAGCATTCTCTACAGGATTAGATAATAAACTCAGGACTTCTTTGCCATACTCAGTAGTGACTTCATAGAAGCATAAATTCATTAATGTACGTAACTACACCTATCAGTATCTTGATGTTCAGAAATTTCAGCTGAAGCAAAATACATTTCTATTTTGGTGGGAGTGAACCCAGGGTATTTAGCAGTGCTGTTGCTGCCTCATGAATCGAAGATATGACTATAGCTTCTGCAAGGCATGAAAAAAATCACTTCAAATAAAACAAAGATGAAAGAGAATGACACAGAAATTTCCAAGGGATTTACCTTTCTTAATTGTGCTATATAACTTAGCAATTTCTCAATGTGAAGATCATCAAACTTGGATTCAAATTCTGTTCTTACTGCATGCGGATTCCATAAAACATTCCAGAGAGAAAGATTATACTGAAAACCTGAAAGAAAGAAAACTTTCTGTTTACATCATTCCTGCTTTTTGTTCATGTTGTTTCTTTATAATTCATACTTGATGACATCCAAGTACCATGTTCTTCCTGAAGGAAAAAAGAAAAAATTAAATAAATAAAGTGTGGTGTGTACCTGAACACTAGTTTCACTAGGATAAAATCCACGAGTGCATTAGTATTATAGCAAGGCCTTTTAATCTGACAGTTGATATGATAATGGTGAGATGCCCTTGTAGAGTGATTGCAAGCAGACCGAGCAGGGTGTCATTCTAAACTGTGCATCTAATTCTGCTCATAGTCACGAAGATGTGTGTGCATGGGCTGGATATGGATCATTGCTGAAAGTGCGCACCAGAAGAACATCAGAAGACCCAAGGAATTCAGGTTCACCCTCTTTGCAAGGGCTCCAACGTAATTACCTTGCATTAAATGGAAGAAATTGTCTTTTGTAGTGATTTAATCTCTTTCCAAAATTCACCACTGAAATATCATTCTGAATTGAGTATACAAGACAAACGTGTTTTATTTAGCAAATAGTTGCCAGAGTTTGATGCACTTCAGCTATTAGCATTTAAAAGACAGATAAAGAAATGGGTTAGCACTACAGCAATATAGTTCAATTGTTAGACCTTGTACTTCAGGAACTTAACAGAAGCTTGGACAGTTACTTCTAACAAGAAGTATATGAAGCAAATTTCTTACCTGCAAAGCTCCTATCCTGTACCGTTGCAGCAGTTAAATTCAGTGCTGTTTTCACCACTTCATAGAAACTTTCGCCCAATGGCATCATAGCTAAATCCGTCCATGATGCTAAGATACTGGAAGATAAAACAAAACTCAAGTTCTTTATACACCCAAATAACCTGAAAGGGCTTGGAGGAAAAAGATGATGTTCAAGCAATTGAATATTAAAATACTTTTTTTTATTGTTGAAAAACTGCTGTTTTTGTCAAATTAGACTTTTCCTGAAAAAAAAAAAAATACCTATAAATTGAGATTTTACAGTTAGAGTTTCACTCAATTTTCATTAAGGAAATGTCTCCTAAGGGGACCAATGTCCTCTTAAAAAAAAAAATAAAAATAAAAAGGGAAAGAAAAAGAGTTAAAAGTGAGAGCAAAAATGAGAGCAAAACCACAGTCATTATCCCCACAACAAGACAGGATGAACACAGAACACATATTTTATTTCCACAGAATCTGCAAAGAAAAAAAGAAACTTGTATTGATAAAAATATATCTATTGAATTTCTTGGAAGTCTCAGTCACATTAGCTGTGAAACAAGCTTCTTTGTTAGTGTAGCTGTAATTTACTACTAAAGGTTTATGTCAAATTTATCAGTGATTTTCTATAGAGTATTCCTTTGTTACTATGCAAATAATCCAGTTTTGTTAGAGTGGATCAGCAGTTTCCAATATATGTGAGAAGAAGAGAAAAGCACTATTTAACTTTGCCAAGTGGGTGTGAAAAATCTCTATTAAGTACCTCTGGAAGACACAACAAACATGGTACAGTCCAGGAAGTGGGAGAAGTTGTAAATTTAGGAACCTTTCTGCTGACTAAAATCTGCCCAGGATAGGACCTCAATGTATGTTAGTATTATGAAGCTAGTCAAGAGTAAGCATTGGGTTTTGTGGCTGTTTTTCCAAATTGCATTATTGAAGGACACCAAGCCCAAGTCTCCTCTTGCTAATCACTTGGGGGTTTGACTCAAGCTGTCAGCCAAGCACCTAGATAGCTGCTCATTCACTCCCTTCTACCGCAGGACAGGACAAAAGAAAAGAAGTAAAAAGCAGGTGAGAAAACTCATGCATCAAAAGAAAGACAGTTTAATGGGTGCAGCAAAGGTCATACATGCAAGCAAAGCAAAACAAGGACTTCATTTACTACTTCCCATCAACAGGCAGATGCAGAGCCACTTCCTGGAAAGCAGGGTCTCAGCATGCATAACAGTTCCATGAGAAAACAACCATTAACCATCAGCATTCTCCACTTTTGTCCCCTTCTCACTCCACACATGCCTATAGGCTCAGAGTAGAGAAATCACTGCTGAGATTATATTAACAGATTAATAACTTGACCCAGCGCAGTAGCCAGTGGTTACTGCTATCTTTGCTTATTGCTGCTGAAGAATACAGCAATAGTCATAAACTTATGATCAAGTTCTTTTACCTCAGGAACACTCAGAACCTTTCAGAAAAGACTTATGCTTTTGGGACAGTAACAATTTACCTATCAACCTACTACAACTAACTACCTACTCTAGCAAATACATTTCTGACTTTTTCCTAAAAATTTCCATATTTTTCCTGAAAATTTCCATAGATACTTGTCAGTCTGTGCTTTTGAGACCATGCCTTCCTCTGGATCCAACTGTCCTGTGCCTGAGGCAGAAAACCTTCACATTCAGATTCGTCTCTGTAGGTTTTTTCTTACTGCTTCATTTCTTGCAAGAGAACAGCCAAAGCTATCTGGGTAGCTAGAGGCTTGAGAAAAAAAAATGGAGACATTTTTCTGATATTGACTAAGTGGTACATACATATTAAGTTAATAAGAACCCAAAACATCATTTTATTATATTCTTTTGTAAATATTCTGTCTTTCAAAGACTCCCAAAGCACATTAAAATATTTAAAGCCATATTATATGATGGGCTAATTTTAGGCATTGCTAACACGAAGACACTTCTTGAAGACTCCTAGGGAATCTCTGCGGAGTTTGAGAGACAAAACAATACGGTTATAAAGGAATCAGAATGTGTGAAAACTCTTACCACACTTCCATAAAAGCAGAATCTGGTAAACAGAAGCAAATTTCATCCTCTTCACACTGATAATGATGCTTATTTTATTAAATAATCAGTAAGAAGAACAAGAATTGTATGAAAAATATTAAAGTACTTTCAAGAATGAAAAAGAACTTACTTTTGAATAGCTTTTAGAAACTCTGTTACAGCAGCTAACTCATCTTCTGTATAAAAGCTGTTCAATTCAAGGTGAGGGAGTGAATGCAGAAGATTCCATAAATATGGTTGCTTGTACAGGTTTTCTGCTCTAGAAATCATTTCCTCTGCTTCATTCAAATCCATCTATATGTGAAGAAAACACATTTACATGCAACTCTTCCATTAATAGAAAAGAAAAAAAACCCAAGTGCCTGCTACTCCCCATACCCCTGCCCTTTCCCTTTTGAATTTTAAACCATTTCAAAATATTATTTTTTCAAGTGGAAGTGTACCTCTACCCTTGGTAATTTACCACATCATTTTGGTGGTACTTTGAGCTTACAGCAGTTTTGTTTCAGATGTCTTTTTCTGATCTGATGCAAAATGGATCTGGAAGAAAAGCTGAGCAACCTCTTCGTGCTCTGAAGAGTAACTCTTTCTCAAACAGAAGGATCATCTTTGAGATCTCAAGCACAAAGGAGCTCTTTGGCCCTGCAATGAATTTCTAAGTCTAAAGACCAGGGAACTGCCAGGGACATGCTATGCCTCAAAGATCCTTGCAGGGGGTGTCAAATAATAATTGATAAGAATGACTCTTTAAAGATGAATGGACTGGGGTAAAATCATCTCTTTTATAGGACAACACTATCAGATGCCTATGCGAAACACAGCATCTATCACACTCGGGTTTTATTCAGTCTTTGTTTCCCTAAATTAATGTTTCACTAGGGCACTTTTGGATAATGATAACATGAGCAGGGTTAATACAAAAAGAGGCTTATGTATACAAGCCCTGTTACTAATAAACTATGTTCATCTAAATATTTTCCTAATGTTAATACATTATTTCTATTCTATGTTCCATTCCTGAAATTAAATTTATATTGATATGGCTCCTTTCAATCAAGTATCTCATGCACAATTTGAACATGTTAGTACAAAAGTGCCATCTAATTTCAAGTTGTAGATTGGAAATCTAGGTTTCATGAAGTAGCAGTGAGAATCAAAGATGCAGAAAATTAATTTTAAAATATTTTTAAACTGAAACCCGTGATCCGTGAAAGGTACAAAAATTACAGTACTGGAGATCTACTACTGTGCCCATTCAGCCACCTTCTTTTGTTGAGAATGCAAGAGTGAAAGACTAATGCATTAGGGAAATTGTGAAATGCATTTCACCAACTGCCAACGAGATGCTGGGGATAATTATGCCGCATCTTGCATTCTGTATTCCTTCACCCCCCAATGAGTCTGCTTTCCATATTTACTGGATCAGAGATCTGAATTCGACTAACCTCATCCAAGCAAGAGCCTCATCTTTTCAGTCTCACTGCAGTCCTTTTTTAAGTGCTGGGTTGTTGAGGGAGGAGGATTAATAATAAGTAGACACTAGGATAAGAGTTCCTGGCAAGACATTCTATAATATTTTATACAGCTACACGGGGTCTGGCAGATGCACTTTTAAATTGCTCCTAATGAATGACTAGCCTTCAAACAGCTGAGGATTTTAGCTACTAACAACCTAGACTGGTTTAAATCAGTAATCTAGAAACCACTGAACCTCTATCAGATTTACAAGCCATCATTTTTTCTTTCAACAGTATACCAATTTTCTTTTTAAGATAGTTTACTAAAACTTGTCAGGATACAAATTTCTAACCATTATAATAAAGATGCCTCAAAAATCCAGAAATGTAATTTAGAAACAGATTGTAAAAATACTTACATTGAGAAAGGTGGTGATGTTATGGAGCCCTGTAAAATCAAATATTTTCCTTTACAGAGAAGCCTTATTAACTTCAGGACAATCAGTTTTATAAGCAATAGAAAGTAGTGCATCAAGGGCATTTCTACAGGAGTAGAGGCATGCGAAACAATAATACCCTACAAAGATAGTGATCCACTTTATTTTCTCTGCTTTCCAATACTACTATCAGGAAAAAAAAAAAAAGGCAAAAAAAAAAAAACCCCAAACCCAAATTTAAAAGAAATTGCTTACCATTCACTTTTCAGTAAAGCAAAATCAACACTACATGAACATACTAGCTCCTAGACAGCCAGGCATGAAAATTACTTTTGCCTAAATCTTTCTGCTTGAAAATTCATCCAGAATGGTATAGTAGTAGGTCTTAAATGCCCACCATCAGACCTTGGTGTTTCCAGTCTCACTCTTTTAGTATGAGACTAAATTGTTTGCCTAGTAGTGAGCTACTGAGGTTTTCTCACCTCTATACTCTCCAGTGCAACAGAAAAACCTGGGGAGAAAGACTTAAATCCTGAGAAGTTATTTCTGAATGCACCTTAAACCAAGTAACTATATACTCAGATTATTAATCCTTACCTCGGAACCTTTCCCTTCACCGTACTTTGTTAACTATCAAGCAGTAAAACCAGCGTATCGTTTTAGAAAATGAGCTTTTTTTTTCTGATGATTTTATGATGGCCACAGTAATAGTAACCATAAAAGTGGCTTCCAGATGAGCTAAAATTTTAGGGTTTCCATTTTATTTTTAATATAAGAATATTCCTTTATTTTATGGTTATCATTACCTGATAGACAAAGCAATTATTAGAAAGATCACAGTTTACCTGAGAACTTTGAGTTTTCTTCCCATAGCTTTTCTAAAGCCATGGCTTTCTCTGTGGTCTCAATAAATCCCTCTGCAAGCTCCTCTATCTCTTTCATGAAGTCTAGATCAGGTCCTGTGAACCTCTCTGGACCAGTCTGGATGCCTGCAGTACTTTTTACAAAAGGAAACAAAGCAGGGTAGGTAATTACAAACTGGAATTAAAGAGCTGAAAATGTGTATAAGCTCACAATAGTATTCTGATTTATATTTTTTTTATGTTATTATGGATTTACGCAACCTTTATTTAGTTTATTAGAGTGCAAGTTGCAGCACCGAGCCTCAAAACCTCAGGAAAGAGAGCAATGACAAGTTGCTGAGCTGGAGCTGCTCAACCACACCAGTAACCAAATTCTGGCAGCAGTCAAGGACAGACACATCCAGCAGTCTTCCATGTCTCTAAACACATTCAGCTTTTCTCCATGGGTTTATCAGGAGTCCATGTGATGGTTTTTTGATGGCCTGTACCCTGAAGTTCAAGCTTTCACATTACATCTAAGCAACCAAAACAGGTAAGTTGGTCAATGTAACTAGATGAAATATAGCTAAATCCCTCTTCCTGGGCCCTGAAGAAAGTTGGTGCTTGCTCTTTAGTCAGTTTACCAAGCAACAGAACTATGATCTCAATTCCACCACCTTAACAAAAATGCATCTGCACTAACAAACATAAGCTGATTCCAGATGACATACTCCTCAAGATACGCTTCTGCTTGAAAAGTGAGAAAAGTGACATATCTGACTACATATTTCTGCCTCATGCTGACTCACACACAAAGTGTCTGTCGCTAGGAAAACCAATAAAGTTTGTATATGGGATATGACAGCTTGTTTTTTTCAAATCACATGTAACAACTTATAAAACAGATCCTATTATCACTACTGACTTTCCTCAGATTCTAGCTAGACCCCTGGTACGTCTATTATTTCTATATACTACCATCTGGTGGCTACTCAACAGCACAACAGTTTTCTACCAAGATGAGATCAGAATTCAAACATCTCTTTACAGGACAAAATTACTTAGACTCTCCTAAGGCACCATAAACAATGGAATATTTACTTTTAGAATGTTACTAGGCAATTGAATTCTGTTTTATCTTATAGTAAGTTCAAATGACCTTAGAGTGAAATCCTGGGTAGCAAAAATATATTTCTTTTTCATTAGAAGCACAATTAATTGTCACATAATCCCCATTTACAAAAGCATAATAAAGAGCTACACTTCTTTCTTGTCAAACTTGTAGTTTGACTAATTTTTGGCACAATACTTACTGGTAAAGAAAAACCTAATGAGGTACTAAAGCAAACAATAAATTAAAGCAAAACCATCAGCCACTGCTTTCAGATTCTCATATTTCTCTTTCTCTCTCTGATCCTTGTTTTTTCAGACACTCACAGAGCTGTCTGTAACTTTAGACTAGGGGATGAGAAGAAAGCCTGGTCTTCATAAATTTCTTGATTGTTTCAGTGCAGCTTATTTTGATCCCAACTTGGTGATCAGCCAGTAGGATTTTGGAAAACTCTTTCAGCAACCTCAAACTTCAGTGGATTAAAGGTGGAACAATTCCTCTTTTCTTTTTATTTTTTTTTTTTTTTTAAATGGAGTTTTTAAAAGCAGGCTTCTGTTGTTCAGAGGGAAGCTTTTAGGGTGATTAATAGCTGCACTTCATCTATTGCTCTTGAAAACTAACATATAAGTTCCAAATTTACTGCCTGAAATTCCAGAGGCCTAGAAACACTGGTATTTGGCAAAGAACATAAACAACAAATACATACTGAAAACTTTCAAGCACTGTGCTTTCTAAGCATGAACAAGTGGACAGCACTTGGCCAGAATAACAACCACCACGCTGGTTAAAACACAAATCCAGTCAGAACTGTAAAATAACAGTATTCTGGCTCAGTTTCCACAGATGTTTCATTGATAGCTGTAAAGCTTCCTTTGAACTATGAAGATTGGCAAAAGGCTTCAGGTCTTGCTGCCCTAAGTGCTGTGTGAGGTGTCTCCAGGCTTGGAGGCTGGGGAAACATGCTACTGTCCTGCAAGGGGTCCCACAGAGTACATGACAGGGGAACAAAACTGGGAAAGGTACACAGAGTAGAAACACTAAAGAAAAAAGCTGGCAGCACTTGGAGCATGGTGGCTCTGAAGAGTTCCATGAAGAAGTGCGTGGAAAAGCAAGTTGATGGTGAAACTCCCAAGCACAAGGATGAGAGCAGGATGAGAGCAGCCATTTGGATGCATTGTTTCTGAACCATTAGCTTTATGGGGATTTCCTGCCCCTTTTTTGCCATCATTGCCGGAGCCCTTCATCTGCTTACACTTCGAGCTGAGTGCAACCTCCTTTGGAAGAGGAAATGGCAATAGGCATATTAGTTACCAGGCTCAGTTTTATGAAACAAATGAAAATATTACAGAGGTTCTACTGCTGAATATCAATGCTAAGTTTGAAAGGATTTTATGTATTTTCAACATGGTAATAGGGAACCATAGTTCCCTCCTAATAAGAATGTCGTGAGATACTACTAGTTTCTTAATTCAGCACAAGCTACACAAAATTGCAGGAAGATGTCGTTATCTTGCCAAAGGGATAAGAAACTAGACTTCAAACCAGATGCAGTGACACTCAAAACAAGCAATTTTCAGATAGTGTGCCAACAAAACCACTTCATTGTTGTACTGCTACTCTCCCAGAGAGCCTTCAATTCATGCTTTCTGGAACAGAAGATGATGTTTTGTATGTGTAAAGGAAGTCAACAGTTGCTAGGAACAATAAAGAGGATAAGCAAAGGATGACAAAAAGGGCAAAAAGAGGAAGCCAGTAGTTCGTAGGAGAGTATGTACATAATTAGAATTGGGGCGTTAGGAGAAAGTGTGTGTGCATATGTGTATATATAAATTATTTCATTATCATCCACAGTAACTCTTCCCTTAATTGTGCATTTCTAGAAGTACTTTCATGAGAATAGAAATTAGACTGAAGACATATATTCATACAAGTTTTGACCATGACAAAACACTGTTAAAAGGCAAGAAGACCCTCTGAGCATGTAAAAGCAACTGTTATTTCCTAAAGCTGTGACTCAGAAACAGTAATTCTGTCCAAATTACCCAGTTACTCAGGATGACAATAAGAACATTTCAGGGTTGATCTGAGATCTCAGCTCTGATGAGTGTAATGGTGCAATGCCATTTAGACTGGTGATTTCCATAAGCCTCTTAGCAAACTCTTATCTCAACCTCACCCCTGTCACCAGATTAAAAATTAGTTTCTAAAATTGCCAAGTCCCAGCTGCTCTGGCTCCTGTTCTGCATCATCTCAGGACAGCCTAGAGACGTGATATCTCCATCAACACCAATACACATGCTGGACAATAGCTTACTGTGTGTTTGTCCCAGAAAGATCTTTCTCCTCCTTAGTACATATTATTATAGCCCTTCTACAAAGCACGGAACCACAAAAATATAAAGAACCATAAAAGCATTGTTCCTAAGTGGCTACAAAATGGAGAAAACTCATGTTTAAAATTACTTTTCTCCCCAGCTCTCTGGCAATCTATAAGCAAGATCACAAAAAATGCTCAGGTTTCTGTTTTTCAACTACATAGCACAAGACTACAAAAATTGGCCCAGACCACATAGGGTTACTGTTCCAATAAACTGCTGCAGAAACACAGCTACCTTGCAGAATTATTTCTTTTTTCATTTGAAGATACACATCATTAGAGAAAAAACTGACCCACTAATCAATTCTTATGCAAGTACATATCACTGTTGCTTAGACCTTCCTTGATTTTGTTTTTCCACACCTGCTCTTGTACATGAGCTTTTCTGATATTATTCCACTAGAGGAGGCCCAAGTATCAATAAAACCAGTACCAAGAAAGGGACCATCATGAGTGAGGCTGCTCCAGGAGGGAGCCAAGCTGAGTCAACCCTGGAGGAGGCCATTCCCTCACTAATGGGCACTGTCCCCCAGGATCCTAGCCAGCAGGCAGACCCAGGGGTGGGTCACAGGCTCCAGTGACAGCCCCTACACAGCAAGATGAGCTTTTTTTCCGAAGGACAACTATATTTCAAACTGAGAGCAACAACATGGCACGTACTGTGAAAACAAATGGGTTAAGCGTCCATGCAAACTGTGCAGAGTCTCCAATTTACCCTTAATAAACAAAATATTGTTAATAGAAAAATATCACTGAAAATTACTATAAAGAACCACTTATGGTTTGATATACATCCTCAAAGGGAAGATAATTGGTATTACTGCTCCTATGCCACCCCTTCTCTCTAGTCAGCACAGGGACATTGTAGGGTTCAGTTATGTTTGGCCGATCACGCTGACAGTCCTAAGGCTGTTGGCAGCCAGCATAAGTCAGGGAAACACTGTGGTTGATTTAATTTATATCGATGGACCTGCTAGAATAGACTGACCTCAGAATGAGCTTCATCCTACCTTTTGGTCCCTTTTCCTTAGCTAAACTATATACTACTCAGTGTAGCCTATTGAGTGTACAAATGTGCATACATACATGCATTTTATTTTTCAGTTGAAAAAATTAAAGCCACTGCACAATTTCCCTGATTCTAAGACTGCCTCCAGGAAATTCTTTCTTGCTTTCTTTTGAGCTGAAATCTAATTTGGACAGTTCAGTCAAAGCAGTGTAAATAATCAGGCAGAGCAGTCAATATGGTTCATAGTTTCTAGAGGCTTAACACACTTAGATGGCATCTGGGCTAGAGATATGAATAAAAACTATCCTTTTAGGAAACAGTTTGTAAAAATGTCAACAGCTATTGTAATTCTATAACCCAGTAATATAGTACTGCCACTGCAAGTAACAGGCTACAGGCTTTGTACTGAGTTTGCAAGATCATGACACAGAGGCTTGCCACCTTTGCTGTCTGAACTTCTGAACTTGTCTTAATGTGCCTGCAGCTTTGTTTTGACTTGGTTTAGTTTTAACTTTTTTTTTCTGGCCAGATGGCTATTTGCTAGACTTTCACTGTCATTATACAACGCCACCATAGTTTTATACTGATTAATAAGTGATCATCCAGTGCAAAGTGAGATATTTATGATTAACACAGCAAAGCAGTGCAGAGGAGGCACAGTATAACAGTAGAGACCTTGAGAAGTGGGGACACAAGATGCACTATACTGAAATACAGGTCCAGGATGATAACAGAGGAGGCACAGGCTGGCACTGAGGACCCCACGTCTATAAACAACTCACCAGTAGTCAGTTAAAATGCAGAACTATAGTCAGACAAAGTAAGAGGAAAAAAGAAGAGGTACCTAGCATATGTGAAAGTTACCACACACATTCAGATGTACCACACACATTCAGATGCATCAGATGCAGACCAACAGAGAACAAGCAGATTATAAAAGCACGTTAGCAAACACAAATGACCCCAAGCTCACTCTAGAGTGGAAAAGAAGACAACACCACCACATTCTTTCAGGTAAAGAGCTCCACGTCATGACTTGCCGTAATAACCCCACACTACCAGACTGCAGCTACTAACTCTATGACCCAGAGCAGCAGAGGAAAGGTGAGCATAACCCCAAGGAAAGGAGTAGAAACTAAGTGGTTGTATAACAACTTTAACTATATTATTTTTTACTGGGACAATTATTGTTTAGGGCTGCATCAAAAGAAGTGTGACCAGCAGGTCGAAGGAGGTGATCCTGCCCCTCTACTCTGCTCTCGTGACACCCCACTTGGAGTATTGTGTCCAGTTCTGGTGTCCTCAACATAAAAGGGACATCGAGCTGCTGGAGCAAGTCCAGAAGAGGGCCACGAGGATGATAAGAGGGCTGGAGCACCTCCCGTATGAAGAAAGGCTGAGAAAGTTGGGGCTGTTCAGCCTGGAGAAGAGAAGGCTGCGTGGCTCATAGCAGCCTTCCAGTATCTGAAGGGGGCCTAAAGAGTGCCAGAGAAGGACCCTTCATCAGGGACTGTAGCGATAGGACAAAGGGGAATGGGTTTAAACTTAGACAGGGGAAGTTCAGGTTAGATATAAGGAAGAAGTCCTTCACAGTGAGGGTGGTGAGGCACTGGAATGGGTTGCCCAAGGAAATTGTGAGTGCTCCAACCCTGGCAGTGTTCAAGGTCAGGTTGGACAGAGCCTTGGACGACATGGTTTAGTGCGAGGTGTCCCTGACCATGACAGGGGGGGTTGGAACTAGATGATCTTAAGGTCCTTTCCAACCTGAATCATTCTATGATTCTATGACTGTAATACTGTTATTTCTGTATATAAGTATTTTTTGTAACAAAATATCTGGACTAATAATGATTTGTGACTTAAACTGTTAAGATTGCAGTTCTACTAACAAATTATTGCTTCATGTAGAAAGTGTTTGCCCAGCATGGTCTTACGCTCTATCAACACTTCTCTAAACGTACAAACAACTAGAACAGACTGTTTAGATTAAACATCAAGTATAATGGCCTACTACTGTGATACTGAAGCTTTTCAACTTGCTACAGGCTGAATTTATTACTACCTATAAACCTTTACAATAATGAACCATAAAACTTGATGCTTTTACATGTTTACGTGACTCAAACCTCCAAGATCTTTTTTCCTAGATAATCTCAATTTTCTAAGAATAAACATTCATATATACGCACATATATTCTGATTAGAGCATCTTAATTTGACTTTGTTATGTATTTAGTTAAGACTACATCCTTCAGACAATTTACGTAAGCATTTTTGCATCTCAATTCTTCTCAACATTTTTAAGTAGATGAAATTGCTACATTGCCTAAGAAAAAGCCCAAATTCCTGTTTTTTTCTCTCTGCATTCTGGGATCCTGTGACATGGCCTTCTTACAGACTACTTTTTCAAGTTCTTTTTATTACAGAGCTTCTGCTACTCTTTTTTCATTCTTTGTGGGGCTTACTCAAGAGTTATTCTTGTGTTGGTTTTCTGTGTTTACTTCTCCCTCTATGTATGCTTCTAAATTATTCAAAGTTTAAATTGATGTATTGTATACTTTCTGTTGCTCAATCTCACTCTCACATAATAAAAGACTTTCTAGTGAAGGATAAAAGCATGTTTTCACATGGCAGAAGTGAAAGGCAAGAATATCACAAAGTACCTCTCCAATTTTTCCCCCAAAAGAGTTTTCAGTATCTAATAACAGCATGAAATGCCTAAGAATGGCAAGCAAAAATTAGGAAGAGGAATGACTAAGGCCTTACATCTTTTGCATTTATAAGGACACTGAAGAAAGCTTTAGCAAAGAGTAACAAAGCTCTTATTCTACCTATCTACAAGAAATAAGAACCTTTGCTGCAGAAAAAGGTGCAGTGATACTGAGATGTCTGTCAAAATCATACAACTTACCGTAAGTGGTTGTTTTTCTGTGTTGCATAACTAGTATTTTTGCATTTTGAACCAATGTTACAGAAAAGGGTCCTCATGAAAGGATAAAGGCCCCCACTTGGTAAATCTCGAGCTTCCAAGTAACCTAAAAGCAAGTAACGGCAGAATTAAAACCAGCGACATTGCAGTTACAAACCTGTACCATCACATTGTGTTCCCTTCTCCTAAAAACCAGCTTCGTCACCTGCAAACAGTGAAGTTGTATCGATGGCAGGTGTCATAGAATCATAGACTGGTTTGGGGTGGAAGCAACCTTAAAGATCATCTAGTTCCGATGCCCCTGCCATGGGCAGGGACACCTTCTACTAGACCAGGTTGCCCAAAGCCCCATACAACCTGGCCTTGAACACTGCCAGGGATGGGACAGCCATGACTTCTCTGGGAGACTTGTTCCAGTGCCTCACCATTCTCACAGTAGATAATTTTGTCCCATTTAAGAACATCTAATTCAGCACAGAAAATTAATAACTTCTGTATGAGACTGTGGCAACAGGGTATAACGTTTGATAGAAGTCATTGAAAAGCTGATCTTCACAGTAATAACACCACTGCAACATCGTATGCTGCTAGCCTCTCTGCCCAAAATTGCTTGTGACCTAGATTAGGATATAGACTTCTTCATTAACTAGTATTTCCTCTTTTCTCTCAGGCTTTCATGAGATAAAGGAACTGGTATTCAGCAGTATTCATTCTAAATCCCATGAAGTGAGTAGGGGTAAGATTCATTTTGCTTAACTGAATATATACTATAGAATTACCTACCTCTGAGCCAGTCATCTGTACTCCATTGCTCAATAGAAGGAAATAAGTACAACTGAAACCCAAATAATCCACTTCACTCCAAAGTAGATGTCTATAGTCTAAATGAGACTTTAAACTTAATATCTCTTACCCACCTAAATATAACTTGCTTAGATCCACAGCTAGACAGGACTGAATCCTACTGTAGGATTCTTTCCATTGACTCCACTACTTTTCAGTCCTCCCTTCTAGGATATATGTAATATTTTCTAAATACTTCTCAAGCAGAGGCAACCAGAATAGAATACAGGTGAAACAAAACATACAGTTTTCCTTGTATTTTGGAGGCTCCTGGGAGCGGATTGCAGCCAGAATCAAGAAAAGCACACATGGCCAGAGTATTTCAGCAAGAGACAGGACCTGAAAAGGGAAATCAAAACATCATCAGTACTATAGAAAGCATGATTTGGGAACAAACTATTAAAATTCATATATCTTTTAACAAAAAAGTAAAAAAAATAAATATCCCCTCTACAACTACTTCAGAGAAAATAACATAATTACAAGTAAATTAGCAATTAAGACTTCTATTTAAAATCCGTATAGCTTTGCCAAATACATGGTTATCAGAGTACAAAAGCAGTTCTCGCTTCTGTTTCTAGTGTTTGTAGATACTTCCCTCTGGTCAACACAATGACAATGTGATGACAGTGACATCCAGCTTTCCCATACCTGAACCTCCAAAGATACCAGCAGCATTCTGCACCTTGCTGTAACTCCTCATACTTCCCTGAAGCCTACTGTCCTGAACCCTGCCCAGTGGTGTACCTCCTTGTCATGCCTGGCTCCCTGACTGGGAGGCTGGGTGGCTCCTTGTCATCCTTTCTTTCACCTCTCTCCAAAAGCCACCTTCATCACCTCCAGTAGCAGGCTGTTGTGAGATCAAGCAAACGGGCCTGATGCTGCCCACCGCCACTCTTTGTTTCCTTGCCTTCCTATTTCCAGGGCCACAATGAAAAGGCATTCAAGCTAGACAATGGCAGGACTCTCAGATTATGAGCATGTCTGCCAAGCAAATCCCACTTACACAGTCTGCGTCGTGCCTCTGCAGAGATGATGCAACCCCTCAAATGGATTACACAGAAAAATAAAACAAACAATTTTTAGCTGCAAAAAGGAAGAAACTGCCATTCAGCCAAATTTCAAAAGACTTCTATATTCACTGATAAAATTGCTACAAAAGTGTCAATACCAAACTTGGTAACAGAAATGCGGCAGAAATGACAAAGAGCCACACTAACTATTTCCCATTAGAGACTCTTAACTTTTCCAAAGCATATTGAGGATTTTTATTTCTAAAATAGTAGAGTTGAATCAAGTTCCACTGGGAAGTGATTCCTAAACTTGGGTATGTTAGAAAAACACCTGACAAAAGTAACATAATGCTTAAAAGAGCAAAATCCAGTGGGAGAACCTTCCCTGTGGAAAAGGCCTGCTCTGCTGAACACAAAGCAAGGAGCTACAGACTTACTGAAATTTAGGAAAGTTATCGATTATCTAAACTGAACACACTCCAAATTCAAAAACAGCCAACTGAAAAGAGACCGAGGCCAGGTACTTTCAAATTAGGGAGCAGCGAGCGTCAGCTGCTCCCTAAGGCAAAAGGAGCCATGCATGGTGGTAATACCTCCCAGCAAAGCAGGGACCCCACCAGCTAGGAAACACTTCCTCAGGACCCCACAAGGAGAACAGAGCAGGCCCAGCCATCGCAGCCAGGAGCCCACACCCTCAGACTAGGTCATGGTGATGAGGCAGGACCATGGTCAGGCCAGAAAGACAGTAGCCAAGCACAAGAGCTGAGCTAGAGAGCAGTGCTCCTCTGACTTCCCCCAAGCAGGAGCTGAGGGCCCAGAAGCCCCATTTCAGCTGGGCTGTGGACCCAGGTGGGGCTGGTCAAGGTAATAAAGCATACCAGTGCCCCTAGGATGCTGGTAACAGGCTCTCCTTCTTGTCATGTTCCTTCCCATATAGTGTATTTAGGATTGGAAGGTGTTATGGAGTGGTGCTGTTGCTGCAGGGTATCAGCGGGCTATTTTGGGGGGTGTGGGATGTGGATCCAGGTACAGTAGATGAGGAAAGGGACACTGCAGGAGAGATCAGGAGAAGGTGTCACCAAGCTGCCCATGAGGGGCTGGGAAGTGTCAAGGCTGCCCCTGGAGAGACACACACACCATCACCACCAGACTAGTGCTGGGGGAAATGGGTGGAAGGTCCCACAGGAAGCTCAGGCAGCAGGTCAGAGCTGTGGGAGTCCGGAGCCCAGAGGGAGGTTTATAGGGGGAAGGCTCTGGACAACCACAGGCTGGGCTCCCTGGCACGCACCACAGGGCTTGAGCCAACCTAAGCTGACAGTCAGGGCACAGCATGAGCCAACTGCTCCCTAAAGGGCATGGAGTGAAAGAGGATACCCACAACCTAGGGATCAGAATGAAGAGTGTACAGTGCCATGCTGGCACTGTGGGACAAAGGCATCTAATGAAATTATTAGAGCTGTAAATAATTGTTACTTTCTTTTTGGGCTGCATTTTCCTTGGTTGTTGCCATTCACCCGACAAACTTCCCTGCACCTAAAGAATAGGATAAATAGCAAAGACTTTGTTGAATCTGTAAAATTCAAGCTTTAATAAATATATCAAAATCAAAAGTGCATAATACCAGTGAGCTAAGCAAGTCTAGGCCTATTAAAATAACTTCTGTTGTTTAGAAGATTTTAGGAAAACAAATAATTTCCTTATTTTCTGTTATTCTCCAGAATTTCAGTACACATTAATGGCTTATCAGGGGTAGACTTCTCAGTCTAACATGCTTATGCTTTTCTGTGTCAGAGTACCATAAATCTTGATAATAGCATTTGTAGAGAACCTAGGCATATTAATCCCCTTCACTGTGTCTTATCAACTAATGCCATATGACACTCATGACACATCATTAATTCAACAGACCACACTTTTCTTCTAGCCCTAACTGCTGATAAACAACCATGAGAAGAAAATTGCTTTCTACGAATAGATCTACACAATATCATACAGAGCTGAAGCACACCAAATCTTTCAGAGGACATACTTCTCATACTCACAAGGGTCTAACCTGCCCTTTGTACAGGTAGATGATCCACATGGATTTCTCCTTGCATAACTGCAGATGGAGCGCCTTCCTGGCTCAGTGTTTGCACAACAAAAACAAAGAGGTTTTGCAAATCCCCCTGGGCAGCTTCTGGCTCTGAACTGTCAGAATTAAATTTGCTTTGGGTCATTGACTGTAATTCCTGGTTTGGGGAAGTCTGCATCTCAGTGATCTCTCCATTCAAGAAAGCAACCAATTAGGAAAACTTAACATTTACATGAATTAAGATTTTTCCTTCAAAAGTATACACGATGGAAAACTAGACAGAGCGAGAAGAGAAATAGATCACCATGGAGAGTAGGATACTGAGAAGCCACTTAATGCACACTTATTAAAGTATGAGGAACACGTAGCATACAAAAGTGTTTTTAAATGGAGAAGAATATAAAAAAAAACTATGCCTCCCTCAGAACAGTCTTTCATATTAAAAAAAACCCATCATTTGAAATCACTTGGAGAAGAAATTCTCTTTCTAAATCACAATTTTATTTAAGTGAAATACTTCTGAAATTAAAAGCTGTATGTTTATCTAATTGAGGTAATCCTATCCTAAGCAGCCAACATGCCTCATTGTAAATCCACAGATCATCACAGACAAGAGAAATCGATGAGAAATTATTACTGAAGTGACATTTTTTTCCACATAAATGTTATCTTCAGAAAATTTACTTCTTCGTATTTTAAGTTGAAAAATCACATCAGTCACAGTAAAAGCGAACAATGACATCTCATCTCATATATGAGAACTATTTTAATTTTGACTGCTGTTGAAGTAGCTGCCACATCCTTCTGCATATTGGAATTTGGAAGGTTAAATTAGGCTTTGTAGAATGGATAAGAAAGGAAATTTAGAAGTATATAAGATTTTAATATATAATCTTAACATACAAACCTTGCATTTCCCATATCTAGATTTTGATCACAATCGTGCAAGATTTCTTACATTACCTCTTAAGTACCTGTACTGTGAAGAAAACTGATTTTCATGCTCTGCACTGCTACAGTACATTAGGTACTAGTAGTACCTAATGATAATTAAAAGATAAGCTGTGCCTTTTCAGAACTTTATGAGATTTACTATCTCATCTGCAAACTAAAGGACATTGTTCCATTCAGCCATTTTAGAACACACTGTTGTTCTCTACTTGTGTTTTCAACAATTAGGAGACCAAAAGCAAAACAGGAATCACTTGCAGCTAGGCTGTCTTTAACAATGTGCAGTGAAATGGATTTCCAACAGATATTAAAATAAGATTTAAGATATTCCCTTTTTTATCATTTGCAAAAACTCACCGGCTGCCTCACACGACAGAGCCAGTTCTTCCAAAAGAGAGCCTTGAACTGCTGTATAGCACGCCCCATATCGTCTTCTTTCCTTCATCCACTTGCAGAGTGGCTTCTTAAGGACTTTCTAACTGAGAATCATTTCACCAAGCAGTCTGAAGGTATTATTCCAAAGCTGATTAATTTCAGCACTAGAGAATAGTGCAAGAGATTTGCTTGCTTGCTGAGAAAAGATGAGATTATGTTTCTGCCTGTTGTTTTGCTTTCGTTGAGGAATCTCATCTTTCCATTCGCTTCTCAGTGCAATGAACAGTAAGGGGATGGGTTTGTATGAATGCCTTCAGGGTGCTTTACAGTACATATGCTGCACTTGTTTCTACTTTTCTAGGATAAAAATGAATGTAAACACAGGAAAAAAAGACTATGTAACACACATTTGTCTTTTTCCAGAGTATGGTGACTTTCTGTCACTGCAATGTTAATGTAATTTTGCATTCATATGCTTACCTTTTTGGAAAAAAAAATAGTAGGAAATAAGTAAACTGTTTAACTATGTAGCCTTATAATTGTCTGCATACTTTTACAACACCTTAGAAGCACACATCTAGCGCTGTGGTGGCCCCACTGCATCATCATATCGCTGTTTAATTTTATATTATAAAGGCTGTGTGTTTGAGATTTCATTCTTTTTCAGAATACATTTCCTACATAAAGGTGGAATATTCTAACAAGTCAGAAAACTCTTTATTAATTGCCATTTGCCTCCCAGGATGAAAATCAGTCTTCCAGCACTTTCTTCTGCTTAGAGAAGGGAGGGCAATACCTGCAGCAGTGCAGGGGGATCTGCAGGAGGGGAGCCTACACATACCTGCGGCAGCAGGGCCACCCAGAGACACAGCAGGTATCTGGTGCTGCAGAGCTGTGTTGTTTAACTGGCAGGTGAGGATGACTGCCCTACCAATTGGCAACACCACCTGAGAAGAGAGTCAACTTTCTGTATGTTTTTTTCTACCCAAATGATCCCCTAAAGCTCTCTCTATGCCCAGTGGAGACACATAACACAGCCATTATAGAAGGTGATTCAAACCATATATACTCTGAATCATGAGTCACATATACACAAACATGAGGACGGTGCGATGCCTGAAAAATATTCTTTCTTTCTCATTATTGATGAGTAAATTGTACAATTACGATTGAATGAGATGTATTACGATTGAATGAAAGAGGCATCTTAATATTCACAGCTGTTCTTCCACATTAAGAATAAAATCCCAAAAAACATAAAAACTCTTTAGATACAGAAGTCACCACTGAGTAATCCAACTTCCACTAAATTTGAGCTAAGGCAGCAATCTAAAAAATTAGTAAGTCTGATATTTCTGCAATGAGCAACTGTGCGTCTACAGGTCCACTGAGCTCTGCCAGTTTCCATGGGATAATGTTCAGCTGGTGTCTTGTATCCATTGCCTGAGTTTCCCTTTCCCAAGTTTGGATTTGGGTCACCCAGCAGCAGGTTTTTGCCTCCAGAGCACCTTGTGAAGCTTAGTTACTCCACTTCATGTTAAACTGACTGATTAATCTGTCAAAATGTTTGTATTTGAAATGGTGCAAATTTCTGTTTTAATTTTCATGATTTCCATGGGTTCAAGGAGTAGAGAAAAACAGATTATATGGGTATCATGAATTCACAAACTTTTACATACTGGTAAAAATCACCTCCCAGCAAAGCAGAAATCTGAGATGCAGTCGTGGCAGGATATGACTAGTCAAATGCCTTTATTCCTCAAAATATGGTGAGATTTCCTTTTACTTGCTCTGCTCTGAGCCTGAAAAAGTACTGAAGTAATCATTTAGCTTTAAATAGAAATGTGAAAGTCCTTAGGACATACTAAAAAGCTACATAGTTCAGTGTTTACCTGAATGACATTAAGCACATTTGTACTTAAATTAACTCCAGGATTAATCAAGTTGCGTACGAATGTGGGTCTATTGAGCACATCTTCTGTTTTTCCATTAACCCCTATTTCCCACTCAACTCCTTCATCGTCACAGTTCCTACCTCCAGCAGTCATCATCGAGCATGTTACCATCTTCCTGCTTCCTCCCATGCTGAATTCAGAGCAGCCCCCATGCTATGGCAGCCAAGTCCCACCTCTCTCCTCATCCTCCCCATCATCCCCCTGCCCTGGGGCTCTCCTCTTGGCATGGTCCCTGATAGCGAAGTGTAGCTGGGCAAAAAAATGAAAAAGGAAGAACATACCTCACCAAGGAGAATCACTTCACAGCTGGCTGGCATTTCCATAAGGGATGTTTCTGCTTTTAGTCAAGAAATACTAAAATCCCTGCTTTTTCAGAGGAACTACAGTAATTTTGCTCACTAGGACAAAATGTGAAATTCTGAGATAGTTGAGATGAAAATTCTGTGCATAGCACAAGCATGCATTCTTACACAAATATTTGTCTTTAATTGAGTATTGTGAATATATGTATGGGTTCACACAGCTATTTCAGAAAGCTGGGGAGCAGAATCTGTAGTATGTGATTTGCAGGAAATTATAAACTAATCAGTCAGCATAATGAATTACAAGCATTTATCAAAGCAACTGATACAGAAGACAGTTCCTGACTGTAAGTATGTAAGCTAAAACAGCTCACACGAACCATTTAACAAATTATTTTGAACAGTAATTCTGCAAAATCTCTGCTCATCCAACTGTGATGTGCATAATTTATTATGCTCTATATAATTACATACTCAAAAATGTTGCATTCTATATTTTTAACGCTAAACAGCTTTTCATGGTAAGAGAAACAACTATTTTGTATGCAATTAGTATTCAGTACTAATGAACTACTGACTCTTCTTTTTACCATTTAAGACACACAATAGACAAACCAGTGAGTTCTGTTAACTTCATTTGCCCTCAAACATCATTGTCCTTTCCAAAAGAAATTCATTCTTGCCTAGGATGGTATTCTCCAGTAGTAACTTGTTTTCTCTAGAACAAAATTTGTGAAAGTAAAAGACATCTCATAAACATTCAACCAAGAATAATCCATGCGGTGGCATTCTGGGAAATCACTTCTAAAAGTAATTTTAGAGGAAACAGGATGTATTAGCTTGATTGTATCATTTGCAATGTTATAGAAATATGAGAAATACGAAATCAAAGCACCAGCCCCTGCCCCCCAAAACAAACCCTTGGCACAAAAGACACAATAATATTAAAAATTAATCACACAACTAGGAAAAACAAATCAGTTCTGAATATTTTTGAAAGATGTGTCAGCTATCATGCTGCCACACTGAAGCTCTTCTGAGTGATCTAGGTTTCCTCAGTACAGTGCCAAGCAGTATCCTGTGCAAGTACCAGCCTTAAATAGCAACTTTTTTTAGGAGTTGCATGAACAACGAACTTTAAAGGGTTCAAATGCAGCACAGTTGCTGATAGGCCAAATAAATTATATGGGTTTAGGTCTCCTTAACAGAGTGGCTGTAGTCAACAACAACATCTTGAATGTTGCAGGTATTAGAAGGTCGTATTTTTCATTATGTGTTCCACTCTCTTATAGAATCATAGAATCCCAGATTGGAAGGGACCTCAAGGATCATCTGGTCCAACCTTTACAGACAAAGCATGACCTATCTGGATGTCCCAGCACCCTGTCCAGCCAAACCAAGCACACTGTCGGCTAAAATGGAAAAAAAATATGCTCAGACTTGGGTCTCTAAGTGAGGACAAGCCAGTGACCTGCCCTTTTCTGCTCCTGCTTAGCTTTAGCAGGCTTTGTCTCAATTTTAACACAAAAGTCTACTCGTACAATATGCAAGATATCCAAAACCAATGGGGCAGAAAAGGTAGAGAACTTTCTGCCAGCATCCATGTATGGTTTTAAAACTTGACTGCTTTATAATATGACACCATCAACATGCCATGTCTAGCCTACAGTTTTAATTTAAGCTAATTAGGGTTGGTTAGCAAGCACATTCAAAGAACCATAGTTTTATATGCTAAACAAGTTAAAGCCCAGGAGCGAAAAGTACTGTTTGGTAGACAGGAATGCAGTCATATGAGAATATGGCTGGGAATATGGTAAACTAGTATATTTTCCTATCACCACCCACAATTTCTTTCACAAGGTTTGCTGTGTGATCACAAGGTTTTCCTTTTAACATTATTAGGAGTACCACTTGTAAATATTCACATAGCACAGACCTGTTTTGCAGACAAAATGCCTGCAGGATGACATCAATTAGTAGCATCTTTCCTGGAAGACACTTTTTGTGTGCAGAGCTAGGATATGATGAAAAATGTTAGTTGTGGGTAAGGTCAAATAATAGGATTATTATTAATTATTAAAATGGAGCTACACATTGAACAAACAAGCAAACCCCATCTCACAAGGAGGTCACTGGTTTGTTTGAGCTTCTGGGCAGCTCTAGGATTTTTATTCTTGCAATATGGCAGATTGACAGTAAACTGAAATTTTCTCACAGTTACAAGCTCAGCATCAACAAGAAGCATCTAGAATCAGGTTTCTGTGTCATGTAAAACCATCTCTGTCTTTTTTTCTGCTGCTGCATTTTGTCTGTAGCCTGAGCGAAAGCATTGCCCCTGTCAGCATTGCTCTTTCTTTTACTATTGTACCATAGAGTTTCAGCTTTAATGTTGTTCTGTTCCGTGACCTCCTTTCTCTTCCGGTAGAAGACTTTTGAAACTTTAATTTAATTCACACTCTGGAGTATAATATTCAATAGCAATTATTTTCAAAAGAGAAAGCATGTATTTAAGTCACTCCAACTTAAAGACTGAGAAAATTCCAGAGAAAGACATATTGTAGCATTTTGTAGCAAACATATTGTAGCAAACCACAATAGTGTCATCAAATCACACTACTGTACTTTTTTGTATTCAGTGTTGCATTCTGATCCAGTCCCCAAAGCTCAGTTTGCTGCTTGCGCTACCGAGTGCTGCGTTCAGAACATAACTGTCTGACAATGGGCAAATCTAAAAGCATTCACACTTAAGTTTCTTTCACCTATCTTGTCAATAGAAATGAAACACAACCCTGATTCAACTGTATAAACATTTTATTTATGAATATATTGAGGTCCAAATTGAGAAAAAAATCCAGTTCTTTTACACGGTGCGCTGAAGATCCTTTGCATGGACTTACAAAGAATGTTAAAATACTGCATATTACACGTGTATATTTTCATTAAATACTGAAATTACCAAATTATTTAGTTTGTTTTTTAAAGGACAGATAACAATATTTGTACTCTGAGCACTTCTGGCAACAGGTCATTCTAAAATATTTCTTTTCCGGATTTCTCATACATTCCATTAAAAAAAACCTCTGAAGATTTTCTTTAATGGAAGATGCCAAATCAAGATGCCAAAAATAAAATCCGCTCCTTCAAGTCACTAATCAAGTTACTGCACAGTCTCAGTCTCTTCCAAATGTGAAACAAACGCATTCTGCCTATCTTCATTACAGTCTCAACCATTTCTTTAACAAAAAGAAAAGAACAGGCCAGAAGAACACCATGAATCACAGAACAAGCTATTGGTAGAAACCACTGTTTTCTCCCTTCACACTTCCACCCTTATTTAGATCTTCTACCTTCCTGCTTTGCTTTTATCCCTTCTAATCTCTGGGGTAAACTGATTCTGTAGTGTGTTGCTAGGTACAGGGTGGTACAGAGAACCAGGGCAGGCCTTTGATTGGAAATCAAGGTTTCCAGGGTTTCCAGGATTTGTAGATCTACCAGGAGACACTGCACTATGTAGTATCAAACATATATGTAATATCATATATGCTTTCTAAAATTTCACCACTCCAAATCCTGATTCATGTTCTACAGAAATAATGTGAACGGCTAATATTAAAAAATTGCTACATAAATCAATTGAACCACCATATAAAAGCTGGTTCAGTATTTTATAATTCTTTATGATCTTATAGGTCTTTGTAAAACCTACAGGAAGGTAACCTTACTGCCGGATGCACAAAGCTGACTCATTTCTTTATCTCTCTGTCCAGTTGTAGTCACAAGGGAAAATACAATTGTTCTTATCAGGGTAACATTCTGGCTAGTTTCCTCTGAAGCTAAGAAAAGTATTTTATTGCATGTAAGATGTGCCCATAGAGCACCCTTTTGCATTAGGAATACAGCATTACATGATAGTGAACAGTAGAAACAGGAGAATACTTGGTCTCCTTTGAATTCTAATTTTACATTGTCATACATCCCTTTACTCCATCTGTTTGGAAACAGAAGAAAAATATTTTAGCAGAAAGAAAAGTACTTTTTCTTTTTAACCAGTTTCCAGATTCTTGCTGTCCTTTAAAAAGACAAACCACACCATTTCAGATTCGTATCTCCAGGACAGCTGCCGTCATACATTTCTCCAAAGCTTCACAGAGCTGCATTAGATGGTTTGTTGGTTTTTTGTTTGTTTCCTTGGTAAAGTACTTTTTCTCCTCTTTAGGTAACTAATAGTAAGTATTTCATTTACAACAGCAAACTGTTTCCTCTGAACCCATACTGGCCAATTTGGTAAAAGCTTTTCTTCAGCCTAGAGCGCAGCATGCAGCTTCTTAAGTGATCTCCTTTTTATCTCCTGTTATGGGAAAGGAGATTGTAGAGATAGGATGTGCTTTGCTGCATCTTTCCTAAGGGACTTCACAGGGCTTTGTGCAATGCCCAGGAAAGCACCAGGCACGCTAAACAATACATTATTAATTATTTTTTTTTAATTAGAAGGGAGAAACGGTTTTGTTCCCGTTTTGTTCCCATTTTGTTTAAATGTGGAGCCATTCCCCCACCTGACTGCTTCCATTTAGTTTAGGGAGAGAAAAAAAAAACGCAGTCTCTGAAAACTTACCTTGATTGTATATACTGAGCACAAATGAGAAAATGTGTTTTTAAAATTAAAGGAAGACTAAACTAGTCAACTTAAAAAACAAAAACCAAAACAAAACAAAAAAACAAAACAATTTACTATTATTTTAATCTGTCCTCCAGTTGAAAATTAAACAAATTTAAGGAGACTAACCCTCATTGTCAGTTTCCTATTCACAAGTCATTCCTTCTTCTTTTTAATGTTTTCTTCATATTGCTTCTACTTTCTGCAGTTTCTTGATGAGTGTGCTTACAACTACAACACCCCCTCTCAGATCTAGTTCTTATGCTTGTTAACAGAGTATTGCAGACTTTTTCTCGAAAAGAAAAATCTGATTTAGCTGGGACAGTGACAGCTGTTCTGAGAGTTTATTCAGATCCTTTTGACTTTGACTCCTGCTAGGACTGGACCCTCCACTGCAGCAGAAATTTTAAAAAAGAGAGAGAGAGTGATAAATGCCTTTTCTTTAGCTGACTGTGTTTTTATACTGGAACAGGTTGCCCAAGGAAGCAGTGAATGCTCCATCCCTGGCAGTGTTCAAGGCCAGGCTGGACAGAGCCTTGGGCGACATGGTTTAGTGCGAGGTGTCCCTGCCCATGGCAGGGGGGTTGGAACTAGATGATCTTAAGGTTATTTCCAACTTGAACTATTTTGTGGTTCTATGATTCTAAACACAGCAGCAGAGCAGCAACGAGTACCATTTTTAAAAACTCTAAACACCAGAAGAATTTTACAGAAATGGTTTTGATGACATGTTCAGTCAACAGGCATTCTACAGTTCTTCAGAAGAACTGGGAACCACTGCAACAGTGCATGTTATGTCCTGAAGGTGGGGAGATGAAAACCAACTTAAAAGAACAGAGCAAAAATTAAAAAAAAAAGGGAACTACCATAATGCAATCATGTGAATATGCTGTGCATCCCCTGAATGCCTTTGGTTCCTCTTCAGTAAGCAGAAGCCTTGGTTCAGCAAAAGATTTCAAGTTCTTTAATGCAAAGTTACTTAACACAAAAATGTTTTCTGGATATTGATTCAATCATGCAGTTAAAATGGGATATGAATGACCTTGTTGGATCAATATCTAGGAAATACAGATATTCAGCAGCTCAGTGTCAAGCTCAGAAATTTCAATTCCACACTTTCATTAAATTTTGTTAAATTTTAATATATGAAAATAGAATTATTTGTCAAAGCTTGAAAAAAGTAAACTGCATCCATTTTTCTTTACAAGTAAATCAAAGACAATTATATTTTTTTTAATTTTTTATAACAGCCAGAAAGGAATTAGCATTCTTAAGTCAATTTCAACTTGGTGGTTTGCAAGTACTTGGCAAAAAAGTTTTATTTACTTCCTAGTTTTTCTTTTACAGCAGAGATAAATAAAGCTTTTTCATATATTATAGCAAGCTTGTCCTTCACAACAGATCCATTTTCAGATCACAGAAAAGTGAGCCTTAAATCTAGCAATGCATAACTAAGCAAAACTTAACTGAAGTCCATTCAGCACATTCAGTTCCCAAAGAACAGTGACATAAATGATTAACTTCGACACAAGGAATGCTGTAAGGTGTTCTGAGGCAAAATACCTTTAATGTGCAGAAGCTGTGACCATGATTTCAGCTGTGCAAAAGCCTTCTGCTTCTATAAAACAAAGATGGGTATTTCATACTTTCCCAAGACTTTTCTTAATGAAATACCCCACTAACTTCTGTGGTCTTTTCTGATATTCCACGAGTACATCATGTGAGGTACTAATCTGATCCCCTTCAAGTCGATCCAGAAGAGTGACACACACTACAGCAGCTAGAAATTAAAAGACAGCATCAATTAGGAATGACATTCTGGCACTTCTACAGTCCAAAATCATAAACATTTGAACAAACAGCTAGAATATTGGAAATCTGAGAGAAAACAAACCCAAAAACCAGTGCACAGTACCACAAGATGCATGGGGACGTGCATGCTAAGGGTGATACAAAAAAGTTACGAAAAGTTCAAGGCAACTGATTGCTACACTAATAAAGCAAGAACTCAGGCAGCTGCTAACACTTACTGTTGTATCATGATTCTTATGTTTTCCTGGGCAGAAACTGTATTTCACAAGTACCCAGGACTTCACCAGTAGAAAGTAATCAGAGACACTGTTCTACCAGGTGTAGTAACAGTCCTCTGCTATCTACCTTATCCCCAGCTCAGATCCCTGCACTGTAGATGCCATCCCTCAGGAGCCAGCAGATGAGCCGCTTCAACATTCATGGATGGGGAGCAGTGCAAGTATATGAGGATCTTGTGGATCATCTCAGGCTCATCTGTTGCCTTTTGGTGATCAGAGCCCCAAAGGTACAATCCTTTCTTTTACTCAAGCTGAGCTCTACCATCACCCTTCTGTACCTGGGGTTTCTGTTAGGGACAATTTGCAGAGCACAAGCAGTAATACGTTACAGACCTGCAAAGTAGAGAAAGCAAAAAGGACCAGGCTCCCTAATGGCTCAGTAATAGCATGGGTTGGGTTTTTTTGGTCACTCTCAAGTCAATAAGAACTAAGGATGTTTGATATAACTGTTGGCCTTTTTACTTTTTTTTCTTTTCATCCTCCTTGAGTTTAAGGAAGTTTAAGATACATCAGTGTTTTAAATTGGCAGATTCCTTGCCAAGGAAAGTGAATTCTTTGCCAAGGAAAGTGAGAGACTACAATTACACAGTAGTAGAAAGGCACTGCACTACATTATTTGTAATTGTCTGTTTGGTGACCTTTTTCCCATAATCTTTACTGAAATTAGTTAGCTTGTGTAAAAAATTTAAAATCTTGGTTTATGATTAGGAATGGTTTATTCATGATGCTACTAAAAGTCTTCAGCTGTTTAAGAATTAAAGCCATAAGTCTACACAAAACACGTTTTCAATTTTCTTATGAAATTATAGGAAGTGATATTAGTGTTACATATATGAGAATCACCCAGTTGCTTCCTCTAAAGTTCAACAACTAACTGAAGAAAACAAATTAATACTATAGGGTAATTAGGTACTTTAATGATTTGTGTGCTTGCCACAGGCTCGAATAGCAAATGACAGAACTAAACTGTGTAAGAACTATGTGAGGAAGTTTACATTTATTGTGAATACATATGATACAAATGAAACATTCATAGCAACAAAACTATAACCAGAATTGATTATTTTATATGCAGAAGGTACATTAACACCTCATTCACAGTCTTTACTACAACCCCCCTGCAATGCAAAAAACTTCCTATAGCTTGAATAAAGTGACTTTAAGTTAGTTTACCTTTGACACCACTGAGATTACACATTGCAGCAAATACGGAAGACTCCATCTCTATGTTTCTGACACCAGAATCATAAGCTTCCTTCAAATACTGCAGTTTCTCTTCTTCACTGTATAAGCAGATAGCACCATCCAACCTGCCTTGTCCTGCAAAGTAATTTTGTAGAAATTTTCAGTGTGATGAAGTCACAGAACAAATTCAGTTTCTAAAACACACAATTATTGCAGTTTCCCCTATATACTGTCTGGCTTTTATTAATACTCTTCATTTTAATGCTCAAGACAAACAGGACAAAGCAATTCTTAGCTATTGCTAGAGCATCTACATATTACTTGCATTTTTTGCAATGTGAATAATTCGTCTTCTCCAGCTTAAATTCTCAAATTCACAAATGGGAAAATTTAAGTAGTGAATTCCCACTTATGCAACATGAATCAAAATTCAGCAACAAACTTTAAGCTGTACGGAAGTGCTGCACTTTTTCTAAGTTTATTCATTGTTTAGAAAAACGTGAAAACGCTTTCCTGATGCTACCTTAAAAGGCTGAACATTTTGTTAGTTTCAGTCTCAATAAGGCAAGAGATGACGAGTCTCTTAAGCTAACTAGCTAGTATTACTATAGGGTTTGAGAAGCAATATTAAAATTATTCAAGAATAACACCTACAGAGGAATGAGCAGCAGCATACGTACAGTAAAGTTAAATTACACAGTGCTTTACACTGTTCCTTCTTGTTTTCAGGAGATGTACTCCTAAATTAATGCCCTTGAGCTTGTCCTCAGTTTTTGCTGTATGAGTTGAAAATGTTCTTGTCACCTTTTTTTTTAGCGTAGCTTGTATCTGTGATTGGTGCTTAAGGAGATAGACAAACTGACTGTGCCTGCTTCTGAACAAGCCTGAGCACTATTATGACAACCATGCGTTCCCTGTGCATTGCACCCTTTGTCACTTATTCAGTAACAGCTAGAGAAAGTACCACCAGGTGCCATCTACACTCTGTTCTCATACAATTTGAAAGATGTTTGTGAATAGACTTGGGAGATCAGAAAAGCACCTAAATATCTCCATGTTTATCCAAAGTAAGCCTTGGAGTTTTGCTCCCTCCTACATAACAGCACTGAAACAACTTAGCAAAATATTGTCTTCAGCTGTCTGACAGCTCAAAAATGCACATGGGAAACAAGTTCCAACACTTCTGTTAAAAAAGATTTACTTTAGATACCTAACCAGTGTAAAACAAACGAACAAAAACCCAAAAATATCACCATCCTCCTCCCGCCCTCCCAATAAAACAATCCCAAAACAGCCACAAACAATTCTCACTTTTCTAATCCTCTAGGATGCCTTGGTAAATCACAGAAATTTTGTGACAAACACCTAACCAACGAGTACATTAAAAGCGTGTAGTACACTATATGTATTTCATAGGATCTGTTACAGCTGGGGGTAAATAAACCTCCACAAAATTAAAAGTTTGATACAGCACACTGCTAAGCACAGTCCTTGATTTTAGGTGTAAGAATAATAGGTTCGTTATGGTTGACAAGACAACTCAAAGAAGGGAACGTGTTCTGCTCAGTGAACTGGACCCTTAATGTTAAACATTATTCAATATTTAAAATACTTAACATACTATTTGATATTCATCTGTTGCTGCTTACCATTATACTTCTGTTAGTCTATCACCAGCCTTACCTTCATAGAAATCCAAAGTACACATCGTGTTTCCAATGACTGTATGGAACTGACCAATTTCTATACTGCACTGCATCAGTTCCTTAGTTAGCTGTTCATCTAGGTTTGTACTGCGAATTACAGTCTTTCCCAGAACAACCTGTTCAAACTGAGGCTTGAAGGTGGCATCTACAGACTCTCTAGTTATAACCACTGAGCCTGGGTCCAGACCTGCAGTAAAAACAAATAGATACAGCATCATAACATAGTTAATGCTTTGTTTCCACACACATAAAACACGTTTTGACCCAATTCTGCTTCTTTTAAAGGTGGTAACTTTGCTCCTGAATTCACCAAGATATTTTTTTGTGCATGCTTAGCTGCTTCAGTTTATTATTATAAATAATTTCTGAAAGAATAAATTTTTCCTTTTCCACTACATATTCTTTCTTATCTTTTTCATACAGGACAGAAATGTCCTACTCCTCACACTGTCAGACTTCTTAAGTGTGTTTTCTCCACAGGGAAATACTGCTTTTTCTTTCAAAATTATGGAAGCAAAATGATTCATCTCCTGCAAAAAAACTGCTCTGACCGTAAAGTACTTACTTGCAGAGAGATGCTTTACTCTCCTACAAAGATGAATAAGTTTTAAGAAAAGAACAAATCAAGAGGGGAAATACCTATTCCACCAGATGTGCCAATGCGAAAAATGGTTACGTTGGAACACTTGGCATGATACAACATCTTGATCAGCTCGTGCAACATGATTGCAATGGAAGGAATGCCCATACCATGCTGAAATGAAAGAAATTCATATTCAACATGCACACAGCCAACACAAAATATATATGGAAGAAGGAGCGGGACAGTATCTCCTTCCTGATTATTTTTTTTATATGTCACCTAACTCACTCCGACAAAAACTGTGCTTTGGGCCTACTGAATGGCTACTGCAGGTAAACAGAAAGACTTGCACTGGTTTTGGTAGACTCAGCTGAAGTATAATATTTCTAAAAATTATGAATTATAAAATATTTATATTCTCAAAAGTATAAGCAGGGTCCTTTCCTAATAGCTGACAAATGCACTTCATCACAGAACTTTTCTTAAACACCTTCAGCCTGTTTTGTTTGGGGTTTTTTTTCAAAGTACAGACATTGTGGCTTAGTCACAAAGTTCATTAAATACAAGTTCACTTTAACTTGCATGACAAAGAAATAATTACAACTCAAAAGGGTGCAGGATGATAATACAGTCATGTACTTGAAGTATGCAATCGTATCAACAAATTAAGAGTATGAAGTTTTTATATGCACACGTGAGTTGCCAGCACAAGTACCATGGAATGCTACTCTTAAGTTATGTTAGCACACTGCACAATGCCACTGGATGTGATACAGCCAATTTTACCAATATCCCACACGCATCAAGTGACTTTTTTCCCCCGTTATTCAGGATACTGAATACGGACGCTGTAACAGGAAGCCTACTCAAAAAATTTACAAGGTCATTCCTGTAACACCTGTGTGATACTCTGAGGAAAAAGGAGACAAGAAAGAAATAACGGTCTGAGAGATTTGCTCTCTCACAAAAAAGGTCTAAAAAAGAAATCTGAATTACCTGACTGCACTATTTTGAGCATGGCTGGTGCAAACTTAAAAACATGACTCCACCTACTAAGTGCTTAAAAGAAATATGCCTTCATACTTTCTACTTTGAACAGTATCACTGAACTCTTCATCTGGTACTGTAGCAATAGTACAAGGGGTAATGGGTTTAAACTTAAATCGGAGAAGTTCAGGTTAGATATAAGGAAGAAGTTCTTTACTGTGAGGGTGGTGAGGCACTGGAATGGGTTGCCCAAAGAAGTGATAAATGCTCCATCCCTGGCAGTGTTCAAGGCCAGGCTGGACAGAGCCTTGGGCCACTTGGTCTAGTGTGAGGCATCCCTGCCCATGGTGGGGTTGGAACTAGATGATCTTAAGGTCCTTTCCAACCCAAACTAGTCTATGATTCTATGATATTTGTCCCATATCTGAATAAGAAGTGAGGTACTTACACTGACAGACAAAACAGGTCCCACTTTGTACATTGCATAACGGTCAGTTCCTGCACAGATGTTAGGATAGTCACAACCAGGGCTACCAAGCCCCAGTTCTTCAGCTATGTAGGTGATAAAAGCTTTCATCCGAGAAGGACTTCCTCCAACACATACAAACTGGGGTGGACAGTATTCAACAAAACAAAATCAATTGCATGATTCAGTATATCAAAGAATGTGCAAAGATCAATATAAGGATGCGAACACCTTCAGCTAACAGAACCAGATGTAGTCCTTTTCATAATAATTCTAAAAGACCATCAAGAAAAACTATGGAAAAAAACCCACTTCTATATAGTACTCAAATGCCTTCATCCTGTTTAAACTAGTAAAAAACAGATACTGATTTGAAGGCTCCCCCCCACCACCAAAAGGGAAGTAAGAAACAATTATCCCAAATTTTGTTTGGTACTGAAAGTGACAAGAACCCACAAAACCTTATCCCCTTTCCATTCCCTTCTCAGTTGGCATTATGTTGACACATTTAGTCTTATTTTGAAAACAGCTACACTTCCACCTTCTATGGAAAAGCACTGGCTTGCTGAATGAAGCAAATTGTCTTACCTTTACATCTCCAAACAATGCCGGAAAATCATGGGTACCAGTCCCAAGAGCAAAATGGTAGAGGATGTCTTCTTTCATTTTCTCCAAGTGAGGGTTGCAGAGATGGATAAAATTCTCTCTGCCAGGAGAGCAGCACAGTGAAACATATAGAGTGTATACAAACCCCTACATTGGACAGATGCTAATTTTGTGCAGTCAAGCAGTAAAAGCTGGGATGTGCCACACCCAAGTATGCCTGCATCGCCTTATTTTGGTTCCTTGTGCATTATTTTAAGGCAATCCTAAATTTTATGACCACCTTATGTGTCACAATAAATCACATACAACATTTAAAATTGCATTCATTGCTCAGGATAAAATTGCTGAAGAAAAGCCGAGATGGTAGAATGCATTTGCAACAGTGCAGCCTTTACCTTAAAAAATATTAAAGCTGTGAACCAGGCTGTGTCTTTATGGTGAGCAGAACAACTGGGAGCAGGACCAGGGAATATTCAGTAGGACACCTTACTACACAGACAACCCATAGCAAAGCTGAAAAGCAAACTTGAGCTCTATGTTTTGATTGACAACCCCCCACCCCCAGCCACCTGAGAGGGGTGGGAACATATGGGCTTTATAGACAGGCCAAAGCAGATTTCTACCAATTTGGCTCACTGTAGCTTTGTGTCATCCAGCCAGGAGGAAAAAACTTTATGGCATGAGACTGTACAAGAGTACAGAGATCTGAAATAGGAGAGGAAAGAGGTAAAAAGAATTTGCTTCCTCTTAAGTTGTTTCCTGTAAGTAAGTGAGACAGCTTAAAAAAAAACCAGCCTTCCTGAAGATCCAGGAAACAACAAGGCAAGGAGGGAAAACTGAACTCCCCAGCGTATGGGATTGCCTTCATGCTGAATTTGGTAGTGGTCTAACTAAGCAAGCTGAATTATTCATAAAATGTCTGCCTGCTGCGCTTGACATTTTAAATTCAGCTGAAACAGGTAGGAAAGACTAGTCAATAATCACAAACTTAAGCAAAATACTAGCCAATACTTCAAAGTACTTTCTGAGATGGAATCAAGTAATACATATGTTTCAGACACAGGAAGATGACTTAATAGCTTAATGAAGGCTCACTATGGTCGCAGCATGGCTCTGGAAATTCAAACTGCTTTGTCAGAGGAGACAAACAAAAGAGTTCATCTGTAGTTTATGGAAAAAATTGATGAGGTTTTGCAGGAACAACTCTGAAGCCTAAACAGAGGTGTTCCGCACTGTTTGAGATGTTTTAGGTTACCTGATCTGTCTTCTACTGCCTCTCCAGAGAGGCAGTATTTTTCTGTAGGTCCTATGTCTTATCTGTCAACTCTGTGCAGGATGGATGGGTTACCTGAAGAAGCCTAAAAAGGCCTAGATGCCCATACTGAGGTCACCGAGCTGTTCCGCAGAAAGTGAAGAAAATAGCTACAACCCCAATATTCTCAGTATAACAGCTGCTTCCATCCTTGAAATTCTCTCCCTAGCATCAGTCACTATGGAGCAGCAGCCGCACAGCCAAAGAAAGAGGTATCATCCCAATCCACCCTATTTGTCCCAGCCCACAACTGACTACCACCATCAGCACTGAAAAAGCAGCCCAACAAAGCGGGTGGGCTGTTAGTCCCTTCAGTAGCCATTCCTCTCCTTGTCCCACATGCCCCATTTGCCTCTCTCAAATCCAGCCTCAGGTGGAGCCAAAGGCTTCGCTTGCCTTTGTTCTTCACTCCAAGACCTGTTTGACTCCAGAAGAAATAAAGAACAGGTCTGTGGCTCTCCGGAAAGGCGCAGACAGCCCAGGAGTCTGCCAGCTCACACAAGCAGAATTCCCAGGCTGCCTCCTCTGAATTATTCTCCTGTTGGGTTTTGTGGGATTCTCTACCCATATTTAATGGGTCACTCACTAATGCAGATCTAACAGCTGGCTGTGCTGTATATTGCAATGGTTTTTACTTATAAATAGGATATGAGCTGGAATCACTTTACAATTTGTTCTCAGTCAAGTTAAAAAAAAATAAATATTTCCTTCTTTATGAGAATACCAGCAGCAAAGCTTCTCTCCAGGAAATAAATTAGGAAAAGGTGAGGCCTCTGTTAAAAGTACAGGGAAATTAATGTGGTATGTGCCAACATCACCATCCTCATGCCTGGCCTAAATACAGTTCCTTCCTCAGCACTGTCTGTATTTCACCTTCTTCACCTCATACCTTACCAGCAACACTCTCCAACCCACCACCTCACTGCAGCTAGGGGCTGTTACTAACTTGTTTGGTTACCTGCCCATCCGGATCTAATTGCAGACTTGGACCCTGGGGTAAAACAGGCAATAAAATAAGCATATCACTGTGTGTACATAGGACCAATGCCATGGATTAACAGTAAAGGCAAAGTTTGCCTGATAAAAATCTTTGGCTTGTAACTCTAAGGAGCAAGACAATTTATTTCACTCACACTGCTGTAAAGCACCTACAGCTTCTGGCAGTTGAAACAAAACACAAGCATCTAAGGGCTAAACATGCAAGTATGGTTTTACTAAAAGCAGCTTAAAATAAGGACTAGAGAAACAGATTGCAATATTTGATTAAACTCTTGAAGCAGGTAGGTCTGGCCATATGCAGCAACCAAAGTCAACATTTCAACAGCTCACTGCATTAAAAAATAAATAAATAATAAAACCAAACATCACCTATGCTTGGAAAAATTCACTGTCATGATAAATGAAAACAGCTAGCCAGCAAAGCCCACTGCATAGGTGTGGTTAAAGCAGATAAAGACTCCATTTGTCAAAACAGCTTCTACTAGATACTCAATGTTATAATCAATATTCATACCATCAATTTCATCTTAAACTAAATGAGTGATGAGTCTGGGGAGGAAGGTAAGTATGAACATGGACAGGACAACTCATTTCCGAATCTTACTTTGAAGACTGTTCATCATCAGTTTTCTTCTTGTTTGGGATACCAGGAGCCATGTATGCTTATACCTAGAATTATATTTAAAAAAATCAGATATAAGTGCATTAGAATAGTCCCATACGTAAAGCTAGCATCATTAACAGTGAGAGAAACCTTCTATATACATGATGCTGTCATGAATACTAAACCCCCAAAATAACCAAGCCCCACTACAGCAAAATGAGCATCACTACTTTCAAACCACTGAAACTTGAACTAATCCCTTGCTAAGGTAACCCCCATCTTACCACTGCTTCTGTTCCGTGATACAAGAAACACCCGGCTCATGGGCCAAAGAGAGGTAAGTCTCACAGCTAACTAAATAACCCTCTTTCTTCTGTACCTCCCACAATGACAGTGATTGCTGACCTAGCCTTAGCCCCCCTTTCACCTCTGCCTCCAGAAGGCCTCCAAAGCTCATCTCTAACTGCCATATGCCTGCAACCTGAGTCCAGGAAGCACCTTACTCATACTATCCTTTTCATTAAATTCTCATACTGACCATTAAGAGATTTTATCTGCTCCAGCCTAAAGGCAAAGAAGACTAAAACAAACCATGACTCCAGAAAGTCACACCACTTTATCATCTTTTTTCCTAATCCATTAACCTATATCATAAACCTTCTCCTTTCTGCACTCAAACAGGCAAATATATCACTGAGGCTTTGTTGCTGATACAATGACAGAATTATAATTATAGAATGATTCATTTGTTGTTATTTTCATGACTACAGCTACGTGCCAAGGTTGGTACTTTCTGGGAATGCCCTTAGAGGAAGTATTGAATCACGAAGTTCTTCTCTACGCTCCCTTACAAAAAGGCCAGACAGCACATACACTATAATAGAGACAGGACTGTAATCCTTAAGAAACCCAGGATTACGCTACAAGGAAATAGAAATCAATCTTGCAACAGAATTACATAATATGTGAATTTTGAAAGAACTGAAGAACAAACAAGATTAACCTGAAGCCTGTGTATTAAAAGCCATTGAATAATGGGAATATATTAAAACTTATAAAGACATTTTCATTTAAAATATAACCTTTATTTAACAGACCTAAACATCACATGTACTTTAGACATACTAAATCTATACTAGATTCTATGCTCAAGGAGGTAGTCACATTTAGAATCAATTATGCATCCTCATGGTCATATGATTAATCAGTTCCCACAAGGTATCACTATTATACCATGTGCATTATGGGAAAAATGCATTATTTCTTCCAAGAAAAGTACAGTGCCAGGAGTCCTAATAACAAGGAGTTATTAGATAAGAAGAAACAGCAAAATTCTTTTTGTGTACCTAGATGACAACTGGCTGCAAACCAAACCGAGGACATTCATTCAGCTGCTGTTCACAGCATTAAGCAACCACATAATTTTTAAACAGTGTTCTTGGTTCTGTGATCCTCTAAGTAACAATGTACTTCAAGAAAATCTGACAACAAAGTTCTGACAGTCCAAAGGTCCAGAATACTCTACAGCAGCACTGGACCAGAGATGCCTTGGCAGGACAGCAGAAAGGAGCAAGCAGAACGCAGTTTTCCTATGGCAGACCCTTCCAGCCATCACACAGTGGCCAACAGGCACCCAATCACCATAAAGCTGTAAAATTCTCACACTGTCTAGACAAATGGAGATTTTTATAGCCACGTCAAAACTTCCAGCAGCTGTCCTCCGCCAAACTGATGCTCAAGAATAATGTGCTCTCAGTAGGACTCAGCACAAGAAAGGGCACAGCCTGCTTCAACATGTGCGTGAATACTCTGCCCAGTGTTTCAAAACCGTGCAGAATCCATTATAATTACTATCGCTCATTCACACACACACACTTTTTTTCTTTTTTTTTTTCCATGGTGTTTTTTGGGAGGGTTTGTTGGTTTCGGTTTGGTTTGGAGTTTTTGGTTTGTTGTTTGGTTTGTTTTGGTGGTTTGGGTTTTTTTTCCCCAGGAAAACCTCACTTAGCAGTACCCTTAACGAAAAGCTCCAGTTTAGCGTTGATCCATCGTTAGAAAACCTGAAGAGTCACTGCAAGACTTTTCTGCCCTAAGCGTCCCCCCTCGAGGCTGTGCAAGCAATGGCAGCTCGCTCCCGACGCCCATCACTTACTTCCAGCCGGCTTCCTGTCCTGCAAGTAGCTCCCATCCACCCAAGCTCAGAAACAACGGCACCACCGAACTTCTCACCCCACCAGACCTCTGTCCCCGCCGCCCTCAACCACCGCTCCCCCGGTCGCGCATCC